CTTCCCATCTTAAACGTGGTATAAATAGACAGTAGTAAATACAACTTGTTTTGAATGGGACATATTACAAAAATAAAGTGTGAAACTAGCCTGAAAGAGCCAGTTTCCTAACCATTCAGTTTTACAAGTCCTATGAGCTAACCTAGGTAAATCTTTCTCCCGCTAAGGTGCCAGAGAAAGCAGGAAAGCAAAGCACTTATTTCAAAATCAATCTCCTCTTTCTGACCAGACTGACAACTTATCTTCTATTTGAGACCGTACATCAAAATTCTGTGTTCAGAGGTGTCTCTCACTGCTGCTCTAAAGACCATCTTATCCCAATCAGATTTTGCAATCTGACTCAATTTCCAAATCCAGGTATAAATCCTACCTCAGGTCAACTTCTCTTGCTTTCAGAAGCAGCTTCATCTTGTTATTTACATGTTTGATGGGCTCTGCACTCTTGGAGAGATGGGGCTACGGAAGGTGCAAAGACTTTTAAAAGACAAGCATCTTTCAGTTTCTACTTTTTAACTGCTACCTTTGAAGTCTTAACTACCTAATTCAGAGATGCCACTGGCTACTTGTGATATATTTCTTAGACTTTTGCAAGCTGTTTTTTAGTCCTGAATATTATATGTCAATTATTATATTTCATTGTAATCTGAAACAGTCTTACTAGTCCAATGTTCCACAGGCTATATTGTAACACAAGGCTGGTCTGAATTTATTCATATTAGACCTATGCTTTTTTAAAAAAAAATAAAAATAATTCATTATTAGTTTATAAAGATCCTGTCATAGACAGTCCACTGCAAAGCTCGATAAACTGCTCCACAGTTTGAAAGTTCTGAGTTTCTTATTTCTGAGTTTTTCTAGCATCAAATTCCTGCCTTGGAGATTGTTAAATCTTCTATTCTAGAAAGAAGGCTCTGTAATCTGGATATGTACAGGCCATCAGTGAGGCATTTCTTAATCTTTCTTTGAAAAGTTAAATATTCTGAGCTCCTGAAGTCTCACTTGTCATGTAGATTTTCCAGTTCTGTAATCATGGCTCTCTTCTCAACCTATGCAGATGATAATTTTTCTTCAACTGCAAATGCCAGAAGTTTTCTGAGAAACATAGGTTTAGAATGAGTCCCTGACCCTTGTGTGCTCTAGAGTCACCAATGCTCTGTGTATGTTAGTTATGGTACTAAGAAGCAAGCGAGTAACAGCATGCAAGAATGTAGACAGTCCCGCAGGCAACTTCTTGGAGGGTTTTCCAGGGTTGTAGGTTTTGTCTACTAGTGGACCTCACTCTTCTGTTGAATCCCACTGTCTAACTGACTGTGACATGTCTCTGCATAACAGTAAACCCTTTTGAAGTCACTTTGGCTGACACAATTCAGAGATATGGAATTCATGAAACCCTATGCCACTGACAGTGAAGCAAAACTAACCACCTGGGCAGGCAGGAGCCCCAAAGAATACACTGATTCAGACAAAAGCCCCTCTAGAATTCCTTCTGCATGGGCCAGCTCCCTGAACTTGGTAATAAAAACAAACTTAATTCTCAATTATGAAATTGCATTGTTAAACAAACATAGACCATGAAACTTATATGCCACCACAAAAATTTCCAGGAACTAACTTGATTAAGGCATATATGTGTCAACATCTGATTGATCCTTTAGCTTCTCTGGCTCCATTCTGTACCAATACTTTAGTGTGGGGCTTGGCTTCAGTGAGTAGAGAATCAAATTTTATGTTTAAAAATCCTGAACTAAAGCTTAAGTATACAAGTTGTCAGTGGTCAGGAAGCAGTGCTGAAAGCATAATTTCTGTACAGTGCTATATATTTTCTAGGTCTATGCTATGCAGAGAGAACTCATAGATTTATGTAGGTTGTCATTATCTTTTTAGATAGAAACTGCCATTGCATTTACAAATTTTTTATTCCTCAAGCTGTGGTCTACTAACTGCTTGTAGTCTTTAGGAAAAAGGGTCCATGAAACAGTTTTGTTACGGCCTGCTAGGCATTTTTTGCTACTGTCCTTGAAAATGTGGGACCTGTTGAAGCTTGCATGGTAACTAAAGGACTGTGCCATTCTCAACTTGCTAAACTATACTACTTTACATATAATATTTATCTGCAGTTATGAGGTTTTTCATTAATGTCCAGTTTTTGAAATCTGCAGTTACAGTCATGTAGCCTGACTATGATCTTCAGGATTGCTTTTCTGAGATGTCTCATTTTTTAAATGAAACTTGTAGGTTCTACTGGCTAAACTAAAACATCAGTCTGGGGTTTTGTTTATGGTCTGAAAGTGGATGCCTATTTGTTTAATGTGATTGAACTTTGCTTGTCAATCTATATTCTGACTTTCTGTATATTTTGTCCAGGAGTAGTTTTAGCTGCTATCAGCACATGTGTGACAAACCAGATGGAATGCCATTGTTTTTGAAGTACAGGAAAACATTTTTCAGCTCTTTAGATGTGTTGTGCCAGTAGGAAACACAGGATTGAGCTAGAAATCACTGTGAGCCAACAACGAACAAGATAAGGTTAAGTGACAAATCACTAAAGTATGGAAAAAAAGGAAGCAAAGTAGCGCAATTTCTCATTTCCTTTTCCTCCTCTGCAAAAAAGTCAGAATGATAAATGCCAAGCAATAATGAAAAATGCTCGTAAGATCTCTTTTTAACTCTGTTGAGAGCAAACCATGAAGGCACTATCAGTGTTTCTCCCAGTGGACAAACCTTGCCACAGAACTCACCATTGTTATTGGCACAGACTAACACCAGGGCTGGTAAGCTCAGCAGAAAAGCTCATGACAGAGTAACCTGGAGACGTGAGTGACCATGATATCTTATTAGTATTTGAAATGGGATGATATGCATTCCCGTGTCAGTGCTTTTTATATTTCTACATATTTTGAAAATGATTGTACCCACAGTGGTATGGAGGGAAGGGGATGTTATAGCCTCTGGGATCTTTCTGAGGGCTGTTGCCTCCTGCTGAGTTCCTGCATGCTCTGGTCGCACCATCAGCGCTTGCAGCCCAATATTGACTTACCTCTGTGAGTGGTAAGGCTCATGGTTTCACAGATCCCACGTTCAGAGCTCAGAAGCAATCACCTATAAGCAGAGGCAGCTCATCATTGAGCCAGATCCTCATTTTATTGCCTCAAAGGCTGATGTGGAAACCATACTTCAGGCTTATGGCTTACTTGTTATTCCCCCAAAAGACACAACAGCACACTAAAAGTATGGTTAATATCAGGATTTTTGTGATTGTTTATAAGCACTCTGCTCCACTCATTAGGCAGTTTTTATTGCTTTTGGGGATAATAATCCAGAAAAGAAAAAATAGACAAGAGTAGAGCTGACAATAAGACACAGGAAAACTGTTCTGAGTGAAACTTCTGACGAATCTAAAGATATCAGGACCCCAAGTCCAACTTTCAGAATGACACAGGGACTCTGACATCTGAATCCCACCAAAAGGCAGGGCTAAATTTTTAATACCAAAGTCTGCAGTGACTCGGCAACGGCTGTTAAGTTTCTTTAAAACATGTTTCTGCTCTTGAAGTGACTCTGTAATGAAGCTTGACAACTCAGTGAGGCAGAGGTAGCCAAAAAACACTTATCATATCTGACAAAAGGTAGAGAACTCCTGGAAGAGGAAGAGGGGTCCAGGAAGAGGAAGAAGGACCACAAAGGTGAGATCGTATGACATCCATAATCTTCTAATTACCAAGGAGCTCATCAGTGGGTCAACACCTGATGTGAATTACAACAGCCTCCAGGGTCTTGCAGTCTGTTGCCTGACAACAGCTCCTAGGCGCCATTCGAGCAATCACAAACCAGTGTCCCTGTTGTTCTTTCCTCAGACCACATGCCTTCCCCCAGCCAAAAGAGGGAGGGACCACACCCGTCCAGCTCCGCCAGCGACTCTCCTTACGGTGGAGACGCTAATGAGGGCAGATCTGCAGGGTTTACACAGCTTTGCACTGTAGAACAGAAACTGAACCTTTGACTTCTGAAGATATCTATCTTCAGACAATACAGTTCTCATTCTGAAGATGAAAGGGCTGCTGAGGTGCCATTGATTGTTTTGGAAATTATTTTCACCAAAGAATGCTGGTACATCTCCCAGTCTGAATTAACAGCCTGGCAGGGCTGGAGCCAGAAGCGTTCCTCTAATAACAGAACAATGATATTACTTCTTATTTCACTTACACCACAAATCACACAGCTTGATAGCTTGGAAAAGAAAAGTTGCTGGTACCGATATTTCATTTTAGTGTGTATGAAGACATCGACTTCATCTGATTTGTAAGTACAATAGTAAGTGTGAATGCTCTTAGAAAAGTCACGTTGGTCACGTAAGACATAACAGTCAGCTCTAGGGCCTTAAGCTTGAAGGTGAAAACATGCATGAGGTATAGTTTCTTTCACGGTATCCGGAAGCCTATATTGCTGATTAACAACTTGCATTAGATTTTGTCATATATTTTGAATAATATCACTGCCTACTTCATAAAACACTTCGGAGTAAAATCATAATAAAAAGTGCATTCTGCTGTACCTTGTTAAAGTGAGAATTAATTCCTTCATGTGTTTAACCTATTCACTGATGTGTTTTGGCACTGATTCTGCTACGTAACATAACAGCATTTTTCAAAACAGCACATTGAAACACCTTCCCCGCTGCTTTCTTGTATAATACCTATACTTCTTGTGCCTATACTGGCACTCTGTTATGGTCACATTGGCAGAGTGGTATTTTATTCGAGCCATCTGACACACTATGCTTGTTTAGGCTTGACAAAAAATATATTTTCTTTTACCAAGTTCATGACAAAGATGTGTCCTCTAACTTCTACAAATTTTTGTATGATTGGTTTATTGAGCTGAGGATAAGTCACATAGTATCATTCTTAAGCAAGAAATGCTCTGAGAGCATTTTTGGGGTGTTTTCTAAAATCGGCCACTCTGCTTACACCCACGGCTGGATCCTTTTACATAAGAATGTTTCACTTGTAGCAGGCAAGGGCTTCACGAGCTTCAGTGTCCCATGAGGATGTGAACACTGCAGTGCTCCACGGATTTAAACTCTGAGTGGGAGTCAACAAGATAGTCTTGTTCCAAAGATGGCCAAGGACAAAGAACCCTGCAAAAACAATAAATCCAAAGGAGCTACTTGGTTTCTTCGATGGAAGTACTTACACTAACTAGACAAGTCTTTGATAGAGGGGAAACAAAATTTTCAAAGAGCTAATTTTCCTTAACAACATGTCTCTGACTTTTCTTCCACTGAGATTCAATGAGTTACTCCTCATTGAAACTCTTATTTCCTGAAAGTTGTCTGAAGCTTCTGCTTCTGAAACAGTAGGTGAATACATTCACTGGGCAAGGGATGTGTTGTCAAATGTCCCTGCAGACAAGGGAGCTCCTGACTTTATACCATCTCTTCTAGTCTCACAGATTTGTTGAAAAACAAGACCTAAGATGGATTCCTGTGGGATGCTGTCTTGGCGATCTCTGCAGTGAAAGACCTCTAACTGCTAGGGCTCATTTCTTTCTGTCCTTTGCTGAACACAAAAAACCAAACATGCCATGTAAAATAGGAAATGCATGCAGAAGGTACAACTTCTTTCAAAAGTCCAGATAGCAAAATCTGAAAGGCTGTGAAAGGAGTGGGCCTGAAGAACATCACAGAGATGAAGACATCCCCTTCATCCCCAGAGATGAAGACAGTACAGCGATTCAGAAAGCAGCCTGGGAGGATTCTTCATGTGGGTTCTCCTGCACTCAACAAAGCACAGGATCAGGAGAAGGAAGATGATAGTTAACACTACTTTCAAGTATTCGTATGCCATCTCACTCAAACTGTGGTTAGTTTCAGGGTAACAGTACTTGACTGACAAAAATTAGGCATTTTGCTACTACTGGGCTAAAAAAATCACCATATTTGACCTTACACTGCGGTAGTGACTGCTGATTTTATTCCAGAGGCTTTTGGATCACATAATTTGACGACACACTGCAGTTTTGATGTCCATGGCTCTCCAGCTGGATTTTATTCCTCTCATAGTTTGGCTGAAAGGTATGGGTGCATACATGTGTGGTGTGGTGAGCATGCATGCATACGTATGCACATGTGTTACATCCACTTCATGTCGCAGGTTTCAGTTTACAGGACCGCTGGTGGACGATCAGTCTGTCTGGAAGAAAAGTACGCCCACAAATATCACATGGAACTAGCTGGTTCTGGGCGCTGATCCAGGCAGCCTCATTTAAAGAATCAAGATCATAGAAACCTTTGGCTGGAAAATTAAAAAAAAAAAGTATCAGCTTTCATTCTGGAGACCCACATTCAACTCTTCATGGAAAATATTTTCAGGAAATACCTGTTGACTGAGCCTTTCAGTTTAACCAAACCATATTGCTTTTGCAAATGAAAAAGAAAGAAAAGAAAGAAGCAAAAGAGCAAAAAATATAAAAAAAAGACTCTGCTTTTTGTCACAGGGGTTGAATTAAATTAACTTCAAACTGAATGATTTTGTATTGTATGAGAGTACAAAGAAAACATCATGCTGTGTGTTATGATATGCATTCTCAGCTAATTATTAACATCTTTGCATACATACTATTATCAGCAAATTTCACTTTTTGGCTTTAGTTCCAATTCTGTTTAATGAGCATGTGTTATCTGGCCATGGCAAGGGGCGTGAGCGTATCATACTTGAGAATATGGTCTTTGTACTGCTCTGGACCAGGGGCCCAGTTTATTTCCTGTTGAAGTCTGCAAGTTTTGCCAATAAGTGGAATAAAGCTTAGGCAAACCTAAAACCTTACACACAAAACCTACAGATCTTACAGGCCACAACGTTCAGTGAGGCCATTGCACTGAGGCATCTATTGTCATCTGAACACTAACCCAGTTTTACCCTCAGTTATTTTCCACTGCAGAAAGAGTGACTGCTCTAATATCTCAGGAGCATTCTTCAAACACATCAGATGTATTTTCAAAATTTTATTTGAGTATAAAAAAGGTCTTTTCTTTCATCTTGAAATGGACTTTTACATAGTGTTGTTTCAAACCAATTTGCAAAAAGATCAGGTAGGTTGCGTAATACCTCAATTTAGATCTTAAGAGTCTTCATTTGAAGCGCATGCAGAAAAAAATCTACATGGCTTGATTTGAAGATGGAATTGCTTCACCTTTCTCAAAAGGTATGACAATACTGAAAAAGACTGAAAAACTGTCTTTGACTTTGAACTGTTAGCAACAGACAGTTTTTAAAAGAAAAGGATTTGTGCCTTTAAAAAAAATTCCATGGTTTCTGTTATTGGCACACTATAGAGCTCTTCATTAAAGGCCCATACAGTTTTAATATGATTCATATCCAATGGTTCACATAACCACAATAAGCCTTAGATCTCTTAATATGCCTGTTCTTAATGTTCTTTTTGTTAGAAGAGCAACCAAGTAGAGTTTCTTTTCTTGGCTGAGACAAATATCCCTTTTGCTTGCAGGAAATGAATGTGTATTTTCTGTACTTTGGAAAGTTTATTGAATATAAAAAAAAAAAGAGAAAGAGAGATGACTTTCTCCTCGCAGGCATGTGTTAGGCATTCCACAAACAAAACACTGTGTAATCAGGGCAGCGGTTGTCTTCCCGTGACACTTGAGTTTTCAGAAGAAGATTTACGTAAGTTATAAAAAGTTTTATGCAAGCAGTTAATATTCCTGAGCTTTTTTTGAAAGTTGCCTGTTCCATTCAACAACAGGGGTAACCCCTCCTCCCTAAGTTGAGAAGCTATGAGACATGCGGTACGTGTATGTGGTCTCAAGGTCAGTTATAGCATTTACCAGATGATCGAGAGTAAGTCTTACGGAAAAAGAACAACACTGAGATTATTTTCTCGAGGCCAAGAGCATGAGGCAACTGCAGGGGGAACAACAATTTTAGCTCAGGCTTGAGAACTGATCAGACTTGCATCAGCAAGCATTTAGGGACAGATGCTGGAAGCAGGTCAGTGTCCCCTGGGGAACCGTGGGCACACAACACCTCATAGGAGATGTGCAGCGCCTATTATGACTCACTGCATAAATGAGACAATTTTCTGATTCATATCTGGGAGCTTTCTGCTGGATTGTTTTCTCAGAGTGGTTATCTTTCTGCTTCCACTCCCTCAAAATAAGAACAGTGCATTTCAAAATAACCCAATTTGTTCTTTTGCGTCCTTCTCTTTCAGATGGAATTCTCATTTTCCCTGTCTTTTTTACCACACAACAGGCAATAATTAAAAAAAGCTTAAGAACAAAAAGAGCAAATACAAAGAAAATGTCTTTTGAACCTATGTTTTACTGCAGATTCAACTCTGCTGCTTGACATCTGTTAACCAAGTCCTGGTTTGATATTATTTGAGCTGCAACTATTATTATCTTGAACAGCTGGTTAGTGTTCTCAGTGATCCTGCTTTCTTCTGTGTGTGTCTTCTGGGGACATATTTCTTTGTACTGCTGTAAACTGATCTAGTGTATGACTCTTTCACAGTGAGTTGCAGGAGAATTTATCTACTTTTCCAGACATTAGGAGAAGCTGCGGCAAATTATGGGGACTATAAAAAAAAAAAAGTGGGTGAATTAACTGCCTGTGAGCAAGTGGTCCAAACTTGGCACAAAGTAGCTCAGATCAGCTGGCAGGGCCAGGGAAAGCATCCAATTTAAGTGGTGAAATAACTGTATGTGGGAATGGGGAAGTCTTGAGAGCAGCTTCCAGGCAAAGTATGTATAAGATTTCGTTAGGTCCTACAGCGAGCACACACCCCTGGGATGCCTATGGGAGCCCAGCTCTGTTAGGTGCTGGGGATCATCAATTTTCATTGATTTGAAGAAATGGTATCTAGGCAATCTACAAAACAGAACTCACAGTGCAAATGCACATAATTGGCTGAAATGAAATGTTTATTTTGTACTATATATGTTTTTTTCCCCGTGTTTACATTATAATGTCTCACAAAGAAAGCTTCTAAGGCTTATAAATAAAAAGGGACCAGTAACATCCAGTGGATGTTCATTGTAGAAAATAGTGCATTTTTATTAAAAAATATATTTTAACAAAAACCTGAAACTACAGTATGTGTTATAGGTAGGTTTTAAAAATACCTTATTTTCTACCAGTCATCACTCATCTAGTATTGTGTTTCTTATTTGCCCACAGAACTCCTGTTTTTGAGGCCACTCACTGTTTACTACTGCTAAGTGCTAGTGTCAGGCTTTTTCATAACTGATGCTATAGGTGTAAAACCTGGCTGAAGTATCTCTTCCTATGTTGCCTGAAGGGTAGCTTATTTTAATGACTGTATGTGTCAAGTCTGCACATTATTCTTGGATGCTTTTGCTCATTTTAAAATATACCTTTCTACAATGTTGAAAGTTGTTAAAAGGAAGTGATGTAGCTATGAAGCAGCAGGTTGCTAATCTTCTTGTGTTTTGATTCAGAACATACTGATACATAAAGAGAACTGTCTCAGGAGGCATGTCCCACAAGGCAATGACTACTCTTACTTGTCATGGATGCAGCACAAAAGGAGAATAGGATATTTAACAGAAAGTTCAAAAGAAGCCATGATGGCTACCTTCTCTTCCAAGTACTTGCAAACCACTAAGCTGCCACTTTAAATCTTTTTTTTTCCTTCCTCCCGCCTTCTTCCTCCCATTTCCTCCTTTGGTCTGTAGCTTACCTTGTACAGGACTGACTTCAGGCTTTTTGGGCTCTGGCCTTCTCAAGTGCTTGGGTAGCATGTCATTCTCCTGGTGCCATTTTTTCAGGCATTGTGGCTCATGTATGCTAATAGATTTTGTTCCATACTCACGCCCACATATGTAACAAATCACTGCTGGTGGCCGTCTTATGGCTTGTGCCTGCAAATAACAATTGTAAAGAAGAATAAATATAATTTCCAACATTAATATAGAATCAGAACAACTTTGGATGAAAACAATCATGCAGATTAAGAAACTGATTTCTAGCTGTGAAATCAGTGTAACTGTTTTCATCAGTTTTGTTTTGTCTGGATTCAGTCTTGAAGATTGTAAGAGATCCTGTGTCATTAACTGGCCACCTGGAACACGTAGGTGCCTTCTGCAAGTACTGGGCCAAAAATTCATGTGTGTCACCTAATTAATACTAAGCTTACAGGTTTTAGCTCTTTAATTTTCACACCCTCGAGTTCATGGAAATGCTGAGTCTTCATGTGCAGAAACAACTTCGCTGCTCAATCAGGTTGCTGCAGCACAGTGTCCATCTTAAATGTTGAAGCCCTTTTTTTATCTACCAAACAGAAGTTACATGGAAAGCAGCAACAAAAGCCTCTTCAACTGAACTGCTGATGTCTAATGAAGTAGTAGAATAGACCCCATCTCCAGGCAGAACACAATTAAAGCTCTGTGTCCAGCCTTAGTATCCCTCTTCAGTCAGACAGTGAGGGCATCTGTCTCAAGCTTGTTATTGTAGTCCCTAACCCCATGTTACTTCTGCCACAGATCAGTTAGCTAGTGAAATTCTTGGCCTTTGAAGGACTAGAACTGATCCAGGATATTTCAGGATAAGGGAAGCAAAAGAAGGAACTGTTGCTTGTTTATCCCGAAGGTCTCAGCTTGAGCTCTGCCAGTGACTGCAGCAAGGACAGCCCAAGCGAGTCCTTGTTTCTGCACTGCAGATCTTTTGTTTGCAGAGAAAAACAGCTCAACAGAAGAAAAAAAGCCCTCAAACCCAAGCCCCACAAATACATATTCTAAGCTTGAAAAATATATAATTACGTGGTATTGTGGATTATGGACTCTACTGTGTCCGTAGGCACGTCCACGGCTAGGCGTGGTGTCAGCACCAGCCCTGCTCCAGGAGCAATGTAAAAACACAGTGCAGGGACAGCACTCCAAAGCACGCTGATGGATCTCACAACTGCCAGTGTTTCCTGCGCTCCTGACTGCAGAATACCAGAAAGAGACAAGCTAATCCCAGCCCTCCTAAAGGTAGAAGGGCAGCCGTGCCAGACCAAACACGGGAAGCCTTTCTCATTCAAACATGGGAGATGGGAATTTAATTTTTTTCCTCTGCTGCTGTGTAAGACAAAGCATAACCTGTTCCAGTATTTATGACTCTCTCTGTCATCCCATCAGTGTATTCAAGAAATTCTGGGCAGCTCTTCTCGCGTTTATGCTGCAGTCTGAAAATGTCATTAGTGAACAATCTGCATAAGCTTTCTTTCCTGTATCACACATGTAAACTCAATTACATGAAGAAATACTACTCTACAAAGTGTATTTTTGCTGGGAAAAGTTGGACTTCATCTGGAAAGTTCTCACAGTGAATTGAAATATAACTTATCCAAAGACAGTTTTTCCAAGGACATTTTCATCCTCTTAACTTTCAAATGGAATTTCCTTAGCCATCTTTGATAACAAGGGGTTTTTACACATATATATATATATATCATATATATGTATAACTTTGTCTTCCTATTCATAACTGAATATAGCAATAGCTGTTTTAAGAATGCCCTCTAATTTTTTTGTTATCAATTTTCACTTACTTCCTTACTTGAGCTCTTGAGCTAGACTTTGTCTGATCTGGAGCTAAGACTCTGGGTCCAGATACAGAGTATTTTGAAGGCAGTGTATGTTTCTTTTTAGGCTCTGGAGAGCTTTAGATAAGGACACCATAGTATAAACCCTTGAGGTCAGTGTGCATGCTGGCTATGAGTATGCTTACAGGATTTTATAAATGGTTTTCAAAAAAAATGTTAGGTGTAAAAACACTGGGAACACATTTTCCTCTCTAGTTTTCATTAGCGATGTTCCTGCCATTCAGTTGAATAGATTATTTATTAGCTGAAAACTAAGGAAGAGAAATCTGATTTACATTCCGTTTGTAGGGACTCTTTATGTACTACCAGAATGGGAAAAAGAATCCTGGTACAAATGGAAATCACACTTACTCAGCCTGCGCTGTCACAATAATTTCCACTGTATGGGGCTGTATAATAAAAACAAATGTATAGCTTCAAGGAAGCTTGAAGTCCTGATATGAGGCAGGTTAAAAATCACTTAAAAAATTAAATACTCCAAATAAATTTAACTTAACGGATGTAGAGAAATATTGTTGTCAAAATTGAATAGTTGCTTATCTTGGAAATATTTCCCTAGTGAACAGAGAGAGCATTTTATCTCTGGCTGCTTCGTTCAAATCCATTACACTCGTACTAAAAAAATTATGATGTCTTACTATTGAACAGCTGCCAGAGACCTGCAAGACAAACGTTAGTGATTTCAATCACTGTTTGGATACCTTTCCACAGTTCTGAGATAGTCTTTTTGGTAGTCTCACCTGAAAACCTAAAGATTGAATGAGTAGTACTGTGATCCCTTTGGATCCTGACAGGGTGTCTATAGGTGAGGTTTATGTTGTGACTGAGAAAAAACAGGCCTGCAGCTCAATAGAGGATTTTGTTTTCTAAAGTTATCTATTAGGATTGATTCATAACTAAATCCTATTTGGTGAAAAAAATGTTTAAGAAATCTGTTCAAGTAGAAATAATTAAAAACTGTGCAGAAACAATAGCAGAGACCAGAATTAATTAAAAGGAATCAGATCACTCTAAGGGTGGGATTATTTTTTCCAAAAACGTAGTGAGTTTGAACCGTCACCACACATCAGATTACATACATAAATTCTTCTCTGCAAATACATACATGTTAAAAAGCTGAAAAATAAAACCTGAAGGAGAATACGTTTACAATTGGTAGTAACAGCTCTTTTGTTGCTTAACTGTGGAATCTGAGATATGGTAAGCTTTATTTGGAATTTCTACAGCTGATGATATTTATCCTTCATTTCTTTTTCTCTTCAGAGTGTGTCTATCCCAAGTGTCACATCTGGAGGCCTGAAGTTTGAAACTAAACTATTTTTGGAATCACCACAATTTTCCAACCCAAACTACTCACAGGCCAGTGGCTAGGCTGTCTGCTCACTGCTTTGTTTTTCACTTTTAAAAGGGTTGTAGGGAAGGTCTGTTCCTGAGGATATGTGTTATTATAAAAATACCTACAAATACTTAACAGTGCAGTTAGGTTTTCCTCTGGTGTCTCAGTATTTTATTTTTGTCCAAAACTGCTAAGTATGTTTGCATGACCATGAATGAAGTTATTTAGCTCAGAGGGCTACGCAACTATGTATTTTGAATAGATCTGACATTACTTGAGGTTAGCTCTAGGCTGCTGTTACGGTGTTACATGAGGTCAAATCCTCCCATACTGCACAAAGCTTTTAATTTCTTCTTAAGTACACCCAATAAGACTGACTCCCAAACTTCTCTCTACAAATATTTATCATTCAGGACTGCACACACCTCCCCTTTTCTTATTTGTTTAATTATCCATGTGTTTTAATGGGAGGAGAGGAGGCCTCCTGCTCTAGGTCAGAGCTCTCGTCATAGGCTTGAACAGCCAAAGGAAGAGAGGTTCAGGAAAAGAGTGGTACAAACACAGCAACAGCATCATGTGGTACAGAAGCAGCCCTTTCCACACATTCACCTCTGAAAAGCAAGAGGCATTTTGCATAAGGGACAGGGATAAGCTGTGGCACGGCTCTTGTGATCATCCAAAGGTGTGTTTCACTGCCTTAAGGAGGGCTTCCAGCCACTGTCCCGACACAAGAGCATATTAATGTTAGAACCGGTCATACACCTGTGCATGAAATTTCCTTGAACACCAAAGTAATTCTGCCAGATGATAGAAGTAATTAAAGATTTTAATATCCCATTTTACTCCTGATGTGCTATCTTTTAAAAGAAACACATCAGTATGATGAACAAGACATTTGTGTAAAAGCAGAAAGGTAAGACGCTCAATTGTTCTCAATGATAATACTCAATAAGTTTCATTCAAACCATCCATTCACTGTACATTTTCATCTAACTTTCTATATTTTCAAAAATATTTGTCAGAATTCTTCTAAGAAGATGTTCAAAACTGCTTCAACTGAGGCAAAGTTTATCATTGACTTCCCACTTTCATTAGAATTACACGGCATCTGAAGTTTTCATTTTACCAGGTGACTAGATGACTTCATGCTAGAACAAGATACAACATCTACATTTTGTTGTTATACAAATTTTCAAGACTTATGCTGTGTTAAAAATGTGTTACAATACAGTAAAGGAAGATTGGAAACCTTATTTTTAGTTAGTTAACTCGATAAGAAGAAAACAGCAGATGGCAGCACCAGATGCTAGTGACATGTGTGATAGGATTTTAGGATCGGTGTTATCTGTTGTCAAAAAAACTGTAACGTATATACCCACAGCAAGTCATTAATACTCACTTGCATGTAGCAGACATTTTGGTCTATGAAAGAATAAAAACCACACTCTGTTCTGGTGCAAATCTGAGTTTCAGTAGTCCCAGACATCACTTCCATTGTCTGGGGTATCACATCAGAACCCAAAATAGAATTTCTGAGCTGATGTGATCCTTGGGAGTCTCTTAAGCATAGGCTGTTGTTTGCTTTACACAGGCAGACATGATTAACTCAGTTGTGTACATGCATTCTGAGAGAAAGGACAGTTAGTGGAAGAGATGGCTTTCAGAGTCTGTTGAGTCTCCAGTTCTAAAGATGTTTAATGCCGGACTGAGTGTTTGTCAGCAATGATACTATCTAGTTGATCCTGCACTTGTTAAGAGAGAGAGAGCTCCAGGACAGAGGCATGCAGGCAAAAGTGCTTGCTAAAGTTAGAATAGCTTTCACATGGTGTACCACCAAATCAGGCAGATCTTTATTTTTACAATTACGAAAATCCAGCTTTTTCATTTATGACTTCTTTCATTGCAAAAATTAATTTCACAGTAGTGTTATAGTTCTTAAATACACTCACATAAGTGTTGGGGGTTTTTTTCAGCGGTTCCTTTCCTCTCATGTTTTGCTGAATCAGGACTTTAAAAAGGTGCTCAAACAATTCATTGTCACAGTGAGTATGTTGGCTAAGCAAGGCGTGGACTGCCCCAAATGCTTTCCCGCTAGGACCAAAGCAGATTGCCATTTCACTCCACTACTAGTCTTTTTCAATAGAATTAATGAGCAGCTGAGTAGCTGGTAAAGTGAGCAAAATTAAAACCATATGATGGGAAAAGATGAAGACTTCAGAGGAGACCTAGACCTTGTCCCTGTTCATAGCGATCCTGCAATCCTTCCGTGAGTTTACTGTTTTTCAACATCCTTCAATGTGCAGACTTCTCAAAATTTCAACTGGAAGTGGAAACCCTCATACAGAGAACTAAACCTATGGAAAAGAGGCTTCCTTTGACCACTTCTTACAAGCAGTCTGCGAGTCCTGAGCAGCCCCTGAAATCACAGGATATTTCTTTCACTCTTGTGATTCCTATGCCTGCCTTTAATGCATACCTCTGTACAAAAGGACAGCTCTGAAAACAACAAAATAAAGGCCCTCAAAGAAGTAAAAGCCATCATGCCTTCCATCATTGTTAATCATTAATCGTCATCATTAATAATAAAGAGTCCTTCAGAGTCAACTACAAACTGCAAGCTGTACAGCCTCATTAGTTCTGTGGCAGCTGATGAACTGCAACTGCTTGGAAGTAAATGAGGAAACCTGCTGTACACACAGAAGGAGGAACAGATTTGAAAACATTTCATCCTGGCTCTGCAGAGCTCACAGAAGTAAAAAGTGGTAATAATGTTGTTGTTCAACAAGTCAGCAGATGTGACTGAGTCCACACAGGGAGCAGTCATGTTGTGCAAGAGGGCAACGTTTTTACAGAGTCACTCTCAATGCCAAACCACACTCTAAACTTGTTTTTTTATGACATTGTAACTAAGGACATTCCCTCCCAGCCCCCTTTTTTTAAAAACATCCAGAATTATATGTGATGGACAAAAATCTCTTCTTCATGGCCATGTCTTTCACTGAACAATCACCTTTACAGCAATGCCAGTTTTTTGGTAAATAGTGCGAGGTAGTATAACACAGCAAAAACATCTTTCTTACAGCTGTAGGTGCACCTGCGCAGCACTTTGAACTGTTTATGGGTTATTTGAAATTTGCTGATAAAAGACCTGAGGAGTGGACCTAATTTGTGAATATCTATCAATTAGTGGCCTCAAACAGCATAATATAAAAAATGCCTCAGACTGTCTTTATTCTCATGTTTCTAAGGGTAATGCTATTATTTCCATTTTATTCAGCAGCTGGAAAACTGAAATACAGTATGCTTTGACTTTTAAAACATTTTCAGAAGTGTTCTGAATGGTATTGCATTCCTTTGGTGACTGAGAAAGCTAAATCCCATTTTCAAAATTAATGTAGGAAATCAGGAGTCCAACTCTCATCGGAAAAAAAAAAAAAAAAGTCTTTTATTTTAGACACTGGGCCTAAATTTAGACCTCTATCTTTTTACAAAACTCCTGGCCAGAAGACAGCTTGTGCAGAAACAAATGCAGAAAAAATATGTCTTTTTCCAAAACTTTGTGTAGCTTTTGGATAATGTGAATCAGCTTCTTCATTCTTGGAGCTTGAATCAAATTCATCGGAAATAAATGTGCAGTCTTATTTATTTGGTTGTTGTTATACTCCGAGCTGCTGCCTTTGAACATGCAGTCCTCAGTAAATTTGTGTTCCACTCCAAGATTAAGAGTAATGGTAAAAATTGAAAATCACTGAAGTGCTTGCAAGATAGAAACCATCATATTTCACGTTAACTAAACAGAAATACCTAATACCTGCTAAAATATATAACATTCAAAGCTTGCCTAAGCTGCTTAACAGAATCTCCTAGGGAACTATAGCACATAATGGCCACTTTTGGTGATGTAACTCTCATAGGACCACAGAGCATAAGAACCCAACTGCTCCTCTTCAACCGGAAAATCAAACCAAACAGGAATAAGTATTTTTCCTTACACACACATTATCCCACTTTCCTTTACCTATTATTCAGCAAAGAAATGTTTGCACAGAGCCAAAAGATCCTTCTGAAGGAAAGTGATTTTAAATTTAATAGGAACTCAGTCTGCTCTGGAGTGCCCAGCATCAAAGTGCATCCTCACCCCTTCACACAGCACTTGCTTAGCAATTTACCTTGTCTAATACGGCCAGTGGAGCCTTGCTCTTTCCTTGACGGGTCTTAGATGGATCATCACTTGCTGAGCCAGATCCAGAGCTTGGGCCTTTACCAGAGTTATGGGGGCTAGAATTTGACAGTCCCACACCACGGCTACCTCCTCTGCAGCTCCTTTGGTGCACAACGAGACGGTCAGGAAGGAAGGTTCGTCCACAGTTTTCACAGGGCAGGAGCTGGGCTTGAGCACTGTGATAAGCTGCCTCATTTTCAGCTGTAAGCATATAGGAACTGTCAGTAAGGACCTCAGGTTTCCTGGGCTCTGCTCTTCTGAGATGCCTTGGTAGCTGACTGTTTTCAATACGCCACTTCTCTAGGCACTGGGGTTCGTGTATAGAAATAGACTGTGACCCAAATTCTCTGCCACAGATATAGCATACCCTGAAGCAAGGTCTTCTTGGTGGGATGACAGGCCGATTTAGTGGTGTCCGAGACATGTTTGAAGAATCTGACAGTTTTGATATTATTGCAGTGCCTGGTCGTGTTTTCTGAGGTCCAGTTTCCAGACGTACTACTTTGGGCAAAATTGTGTGAAGGTCTGACACATTAGACGGTGAAACTTGCTCTGAAGGCAAGATGCTAGAGACACTAGCAGGGGTCTCTCCAGCAGTTGGTAGAGCGTTACAGGTTTTGTTCACATTCTTTTTCTTCACATTTTTTTCCATGAAGGGTACAACATTTCAGGAAATATCTCTCTCTCCTTGACAAAAAATGCTTGGGAAAGTCTGTTATTCAGCACAATCCTCCAATCTTCTTAATTCAGTTTCATGGGCCAGAATATACTGGGGACTTCAA